TGCAAGGATGACACATGTGTAAACGTCACCGAAATGACACCAGTACAACCAGAAAAGGCAGGATTCTGAAGAATCCTGTTAATCCTGGGGATATCATCCGGGTTAACGCATGTCCAGATTAACGAGTCGGTGTTACTGTGTCTTGTCCTTTATCTATAAGCATGCATATGTTCCTCGCGTCCGGATAGAGGAGATTCCGGACTACGGGGTGTCAGTCTCTCTGTCTGTTTGTTACCTAACGCCGCACTCAGGAATATTCCAGCTTTATGACGACGGTCTGTAACTAATCGAGTCTGGACCAGACAATCCAGTGATTGACATCATGAGCATCTATACACGCAATTGGGATACGATGACATGCATATCGGTGAGCCTGACCGCCCGCTCCCGTTAAAGGCTTCTTACGACAAGCACAGTCGCAGAGAGAGAGAGAGAGAGAGAGAGAGAGGGAGGGGAGAGAGAGAGAGAGAGAGAGGGAGGGGAGAGAGAGAGAGAGAGAGAGAGAGAGAGGACACAAATCAGGCGAAGCTGAACAACGCTGGTCGCGTAGAGAAGATGAATTGGTGACCGTGTCGGCAGCTTGACTCCTGAGAGTTTCTGTTGGGCTACAGCCCTTCCCCACACTGACGCACATGTTACATGTGGTGCTTCCTCCACTGTGATTGAAATATTCATCACCCAGCAGTGAATGGGTACCCGGTAGGATCATGTTGACCTATTAACCTTCTAGCACCTCCGGCACCTTTGGTTGTCTAATGGGCTTCACACATTGTACCCATGTCCAGGCTGCGAATGTATATCGAGTGCATACGATCCATTGACCACGGGGTAATAATGTAGCGCTGTGAACATGCCTTCGGGTGTGGCTCATTATTAATATGAACATAATATTAATGAGCCATTTATATTGCGCATATTTCCACACCACTGGGGGCATGCTTAAAGCGCTATTATAACCCTGGTCACTGAATCAAATGGGGTCTCAAGAATCATTACCAGCTCCCTGGGGAGTATACAACCCAAGCTGCCTGTTAGGCGACTGAGGCTTGTCATCTCATCCTACCCATTCACTGCTGGGTGAACAGAGGCAAATTTCGAACAATGTCATTTGTTTCAGTGTGGGGCGGGGGCGGTAGCCTGGTGGTTAACGCCGATTCCCCCCATGGGTACTATGTGTGGAGCCTGCTTTCTGGTGTACCCCGCCGTGATATTACCGGATTATTGCTAAAAGCTCACTCGGTGTGGGCTGGGCCGGACCGAATGCTGGCTAGTTACTCTCAGGAGTCAAGCTGCTGAAACGTGGTCACCCATCCAAGGACTCCGCGCGACCGACTTTGCTTAATTTCACCTGATTTGTGATCTGTGCGCTGTGCACACGACCACTTGCCAACAAGTGTTTATTACACCAATACTCTCATACGAGGCTGATCCAAAGAGGGCGTGGGTGTGCGTGTCGCTTGAAGCTGTGTTGGGTACGGAGATGTCACTACGAGCACCTGGTTGACCTGTACAGTCTGATGAGTATAGAAGGCATTATACGTGAGCTTCTGTTAATTAAAGCCGAGTGATGCAGATATGTATACTTGGTACAGTCGTGTTGTCTGATGAAAGTGTATTATAATGAGTTCTACTCGTCAAATTGCATATTGTGCTGGGATGTTATGGCGCGCTTGGACTCCATATGGGATGTATGTATAATAATGGTATACAAGATCCCATCCGAGTACTAGTGTACACAAATGTTTGAAGGTGGCTAAAAGGGAAACAAATGAGAAATGGTTATTCGATGGTGATGTATTTGAAGTTTGCAGTGTTCGACGACAGTTTTCAGCCTAAAGTAACGTTTTGATAGAGTTTGTATATTTTGGTCAAATCCAATTTTAAAGGGTATATTTTCCAGCAGTTTATTATGCATTGGCCAAATACTTACATAGCTGTCTGTAACCCATCCACCCTTGCTGAACTTGGCTGGAATTCCTGGGCTCGATCGTAGCGCCACCGGTGGCTATTACGAGTTATGTCCCTTCTATGCCTCTCCTATGGACCAGTAAGATTCCACCTCTCGTATCACTTGCATTTGCTTCAAACAAAATGGCGGCGCCCGGTCAAGACGATGTGATCGATAATCAAGATCTATATTGGGATAAAACGGGTCTTGCATCGCCAAGTACATCAAACCACGTGGGCACCTTGATTAAAAACATGAAAAGATCTGGAAAATATCTGTTGACAACGGATTGGCGGTGCACATGTTTTGCAAATCCTGCAATCGATCGAAAACTGCATGAGAGTTTACGAACCGGATTCGATTTCGTTGCGCGATTTTGATTGGACTTTGCATAGACTCGTTAGTCCAGCCAAAATCTAACTCCATAATACCAGCCTAGTTCAGCAAGGGTGGAAACTGGACTTTTATAGTCAGTTAACTCTCTTGCCTCGGGAAGATGTCTGCAACCACACCTGGTGCATACGTCTGTGTCCCTGGGGGGCGTCCGGGTGAGAACAGCTCCCCGTCAACATTATACTGGTTGTATGGAGGCCGAGGCGACTTAATGGATCGGGTGGTCAGGCTCGGTTGAAGGCGTCATCTTATACCCAGTCCGTGTGGGACGCTGCTCGCTATATCAATGATCACTGGATTGTCTGGTCCAGGACTTACAGGCCGATCACATACAGCTCGAATATTGGGCGTCGTGAAACAACACATAAACTGTAGTCTTTGCACAAACTGCAAGTACGTACTTTACAGTAAATTGTAGTAAATGGTTTTATTGATCCAGCATATAGGGTAGGAAATATACAGCCAGTCGATCACTGCATGACGGCATACATATAACTTGTTACCATATACAAACTGCAGTGGTTGAATTACCAGGTGTTGACAGACTGGGGGTTGACCAAAGTAGGCAAGCTTTACTCCGATATATCGAAGACAATAAAGAAATATATCTTTCTACGGGAGCATTTGGTGCGCCATTTTATGAATGGGTCACATCAGATGTCGGTATTCGGACATTTAATTCAAGCTCGACTGGCTCTCTATATATTAACGCCCAGATACGTAAATGTGTTTTGATTTGTACCGTATACTCAATTACAATAAACTACGGTTATAACGAACTCGAAAGGACCACTAAATTTAAGTTCGTAATAATCGTAATTATGTATAAGCATATATACAGCATTTATACAACGAATGGTCGGGACTAAAAAATAAGTTCGTTATATCGGTCAGTTCGTTATAAGCGTGTTCATTATAAACGTAGTTTATTGTATTTACAATCACATGCGGGTTAACTGCTTGACGTTAAGGCTAGAGTAGGGTCATGGATAAGAGGAAAGTGTATCAAATTCATACGTTGAAATAATGACAAAATAATCTGTCGTCACAAACTAAAGTTAGAAATAGTCTAGTTGTATCCTGTCACTTGATCGTCACGTGACAGAATGTCTTCCGAGCTTGTGCAAACTTTATCATTTATTGTGTTTTATATGTATATGTCTCTTGTAAGATAGTATTTATGGTGTGAATGTACAATGTTAAGATGTATATGGGCAATATGTATATTTTGTTAATAAAGATGACGTAAGAATTTCTTCTTTGTTGTTATAACTTTGACAGAAGACAAACAAATTGTATTCTTATAAAAATGTGTACATTTTCATTATCTTACCAATAAAGCTCACTCATCTGAATATTCTCACATTCTGAATAAATAAAACATATTATATATACATTCCGGAGATATACTGTTTTCAATCTATAGACCTATGTTACCCGGAGATTCGGGGTAGATTTTTACTATATATACCATAGTTAATATATTTTATTGTATCTATAATTTAAGTCATCAATTGATATCACAAAATATTGCTGTCACTATATTTCGATTCAATATGAAAAGAATTATTGCTATCATACATTTATTGACGTCAACAGTTTGATATTTAGTTATAAATATGCATGTGTTTGAGATCTCTGTGAAATGTGTATTGTGAAAGGGCCAGAGATCTTACATTAAATACATTGTATACCTGTGCGTGTATAAAAAATGGACTTTGTCAAAAGAAATTGGAGATTTGCACAAAAGCTGAAAGTGTCAGTGTTTATATTTGTTATATTTTCTCCAAACTTAACCTACCTGCATGTCATTATAGGTATCCAATGCCCATCATCTCGAGCCTGTATTGTGTTTGTTTGTTGTTTAACGCCGCACTCAGCGATATTCCAGCTGTATGGCGGTGGTCTGTAAATAGTCGAGTCTGGGCCAGACAATCCAGTGATTTCTTTGAGAGGCATTTAGAAGTAAGTTCTAAGTAAGGATAAGATATATGGATGAACAATTGTAATGAAGTTGTTTAGCGCCCAATTGTAATAAAGAAGTTGTTCATCCATACATTTCAGCAACATTCTTGTAATATTTCGGCGGGGGACACCTGAAACATGTGAAATGGGTTTCACACATTGTACCCAAAAAGACCAAGCCTTTTGTCTCCCCATTAACGCTGTGGTATCTGCGGGGTTCGGGCAAAGATTTCAGTTAGACTGATTTTACACATAGATCTACAATTGGACTGTAAAAAGTAACATATTTATTGCAAGATTCTAATTCCAGAGACCACAGAAATGGAAGATCTTTATCTTTTTATTAATCACTGCTGTATACATTAAAATCAGACAAAGCAAATAAACTATGTAATCTTTCAAGTAAAAGATATACTACTATAATGTATCAAGCATATCTGGCCAGTCCATTTACCAGGTTGAGACAGATCTATCTCTTTAATTGCTGTGAATGTACATATCACTGTTGTTTATGTTTGGAGAACAAGTCGTGTCAGTTTTCACAACAGACAGCTGTCGTAATCACTGGTGCGTCACACGCAAGTTAAGCAATATTAAATGGCAACCCAGTCTTTGTTAGAAAAACACCGCGGAAATATCCATTTAAAACGCGCGCGCACCTGTTGTCGTCATTCTTTGATAGCAGCGCCACCTGACCTCACCCTGACAGTTTAGCGGAAGTGCGGACTTCACTGAAACCGAAATGGCGGCTGTTAAGCAGAACGTTGAGACGTGGAAAGCCAGACTCGACAAGATTCTCCACGAGAAGAATGGCTTCACGGACCTTTTGGAGAAGATTGAAACGAAGACGGGCGTCCGGCGACTTTACGTCGCTCTAGGTGTGTCTGTAGTTCGTTATTAAAGGCCAGTTATTGACAATGGTGGAAACACATCCCCCTCGAAACTACACCCTTCTCGCTCTTCCAACGATAATAATTTGTTGAAGTGTTCCATATTTGCACGCTATAATTACTTTGGGAACATGCATGTGATGCTGCTGCGTATTTTGTAGTTGTGTGTGACAGTAGCGTGGTTTAGCTGGCAAGATGATTTGCACGAGACGGAAATTAAAACTGCAACTTTGCACACAGCTGTTGATTGGATCACCGGTTGATGAAAGCACTGATCACATGAAAGCTCCTTCCAAAAATGGTCATGCAAAGACCTGACCCAATGCTGGCTCATAATTCTTAATATGCAATTTTTGTTTAATATGCCAAAGGTTAAGGATCAATGCAATGATATTATATTTTCAGTGACTCGTTTTTTGCGCGTCCCACATTTAACATGTTGTTGACCATGTTGACATTGAGAGTAAGTACTCCCAGCTGACACAAACATCTGAAAAAAAGCTGCATAAAATATTTTGTGGAATGTTCTAGAGGTATTTTTGTAGAAGTTTTGTTCATGTGAATTTGTGTGGTTCCAGAAATGTTTAAGAATCTTGTATAATTTTCTTTAAGCAATGGTCGTGATGTTTTTTGCAAAACATTTTATTCACAAATTGTTATGGTTTGAGAAATGTTTTGGAAACATGTTTTAAACAATTGGACATGTTGGCTGTAATGTTTTCATATTATTTTCATACCAAACCAGGGTGTAGAGTAAGCCCAGTTGGTGTTTCTTCTGCCAATGTTTAAAAAAACAAAAACACCAACTAACAGTTAATGAGATTACGTGACTATCGCAAATGACAAAGTTTTGTTTCATGCACACGACTTGTAATGCAGTCAGTCCATATTTCTACTAATCACGGTGGCCCGTAACAATCAAGCCTTGATTAGGCGACCTGCGATTGATATCAAAAGCTAAACTCGCAATATGGGGTACAATTACACCAAATCATCAGCCATTTAATCGCCCCTAATATCAAACATTGATAATCAGGACCTATTCTAACCAAAAATGTAAACAGAGATGCATTTATTAAACAGGCATTGTAGCTAGCTACAAATAACAGAACAGCATCAGCGATAGAAACTAACATTTTTAGTCCTCTAGTCTTTTAATGATAACATAAGCAAACCCTTAAAAAATTCTGCTAGTCCTCGTTAAAACTTTTGGGCAGTTGGGCAAGGACTAGGCCAATTTCTATCATTGCAGTACATACAACAAAGCAGTATGAAGCGACTAATTGGTAGTCAGTATTTCAACCATTCATTTTTTTATCACAATTTTGTTCTCTCATTGTCAACAAGTTGCAATGAACCAAGTGTCATATGAACACGATGAACTTTATTTGATCGTACCTTTATTAAACACAACTAAATAAAGTTATTAAAAGTTATAAAATATTCTGTATGTCACTTGTTGCTATTGCACAGCAAAATGAATCCAGCACATGTGATCATATCACAGCTCATTTACTGAACAGTGTAATTTGTAGTGTTGTTTCATTCAAACTGGTTTGGTGGGAAACAAGTCCAGGTATTTATCATAATATAATAGAGATATTATGTGCCATAACACACTGCACTATCATGCATGTGAAGGTGGCATGACCTCATGTTCTCACTCTTGCACCCCTAAACTTGTCCATTGCCCATGTTGCCACTGGCATTTATTGCTGCAGCAGCCTATGATGTTGAGGGCACTGAGTGATAATGAACATTCTGTTGCATGTAATAATGCATAGATGGACAGGTCACACTTCACTGAAAGCAACAGCTGGTGTTTCATGGGAACATGCTGGTGAAGTCATCAGAGACTAATGTGACTATTGTTTCTCCTCACTGTCAGTTGAGTCATTGTTTGCAGTTCACACTTGAAATTTAGTGTTGAATAAACAGTTGTAGGTCTGGAGTTACTTCACATTTATAATTGTGTGCCTGTGTTTATGCTTGTCGTAAAAGAGGCGACTAACAGGATCAGGTGGTCAGGCTCGTTGACTTGGTTGATACATGTCATATCTCAATTGTGTGGATTGATGCTCATGTCAATCACTGGATTGTCTGGTCCAGACTTGATTATTTACAGACCACCATCATGTAGCTGGAATGTTGCTGAGTGCGGCGTTAAGCAACAAACAAACAAACAAACAAATCTACAATTGGCAAGATCATTATTCCCTACTTACAGAAATGTAATATTCTAATGTTTGATGATAAAACATTGAAATTGTTAGACTTGGCAATGTTTGTATTTCATGCAATACAATAAGGAAACATTAATGTTCGAGTGTAATTCAAAGACTGCATGTTGGCTGCACTGACCTCAAGCTGTATTCAAGGCCTACATTATCCTTTAACAGATATAGATGAACATAAACATCATTATTCCATGTGTAGTTTGAAAATAATGTGGGTGGCATATTTACGGCATTGGACTTCAGGAACAGGGTTACAGGTGTTTTTGAGAAAGTGTTATGTAAAATTCATTAGAATTGTTCAAACACACACTTGATAGTTCAGTCAGTTATTGAGATTTTAACCGTGTATGTCAGGCATCACCCCAGGCTCTATCAGGTCGTGTATGCAGAGTATATCGGTGCATTGATTTGGGGTGCTTTTAGTCATCATGATGATCATGTGGCTGGATGCAGCTGCTGCTGCTAGATTCAGCCATTACCAGGATACAGGAACTATTGATGCTATCCTGCAGCCTGTATGTTTATCATGTAGCAGCTGGTGGCATTATCAGTAATCTTGCCAGTGTTAGAAACCAGCACTAGTCCTGTAGTCCTTGCCCTACTGCCCACTAGTTAAGACATCACGAGGACTAGTGGAAATTCACCCTTTTTAATGGTTTCAATGTGTCTTATCATTATAAGGACTAGTGGACAAGGTTGCAGTCTACGACAGGTACCATCCTGGTCACTATTTTCTGACTTTTCATTTATGATATTGGCGTCATGGAAGTTATATTGTCTTCATAATACAGATGTCATTACTCTGTGTTCATGTTCATTTCTGTGGACTAGGCGTTTTTTTTTGTGTTTTTTTTCGCTGACTGTAACCATGGTAACACTATCAGCGTCAATTTGGTTCCTTTTCAAACTTTGACTGTGCCATCCAAATTTTTGTTTTTTAATTGGCAAGGATGAATAATTATTTGGAAATGTTTAGTTGATTAGTTTCCGATCAAAATGTGTTGAAATCTTGAAAATGTCTTAATGGCATTTGTCTCTAGCAATATCGCTAGTTTACCGGGTAGGTACTCTTTATAGCGACACTGTGTTTGGATACTACATGTATGTGTACAGCTGTTGAACAATGAAGGATACAATGGACAGTGTCATATTGGTATGTCATGTACCAGCCAACAACATAATGCTCGTCAGTATTACTCTTGGAAAATTGCAATCAGCTGTACAAACGTGTTCTCCCAATCTACTGATGTTTACGTTAAAACATACCCAATAATATGACAGAAAAAAAGTTTGATGAAATGATAAGGGAAAAAAATAACTAATTATTATTTTGACGAAAAATATATTCTGATATGGGGTTATTTTAATTGCAGGTTTTACTTTGTGACAATGACAACCATAGCCTGAGTTACGCAGTAGCACTCTTGTGTATATTATCGGGTACCTTTTTGCATGGGACAATTTGACAAATCACCGTTAAGGTTTTGTGCGATCTAGTTATTTCCATCGCAGAAACAATATGTTGACATTAAATCGTCAAACTACAACAAATATTACGTTTAACGAGTCAAAGTATGTCAGTTATGATATGCATCCTTATTCTGTCAACTAAGGTTCATTTCAAGGTGTCAATAGTGGTAATATGATCGTGGTTGCTGTAAATAACAGTGAGTTGGTACAGCGGACTTATTGAACGGAAGTTGTAAGTACCGAATGGAAGCCAAAATTAATGTAAATATTGCTAAATGAAAGTTTGATAAAATTTATTAAATACATTACGTAGATTACAAGCATGAGTCCAGATATACAATTAAACACTTTTTATTACAGATGGCGTAACTTGCGTAATTTAATACAGACCTGTTGATATTCTATTTCCGATGACAGATTATGACGAGACATAGTTTTAGGTTAGGGGTCCAGCTTATCTACCGCATATAACATTTTGAAACTGATTTCAAGGACAAGTTAATACCTCGACTTATCTATTAGATCAGCTGTTCAAATTTGGTAATGGTCGAAAGGAATTTCCCATCTAAAGCTGATAAGGTCACCAAAAAATGAAGGTGTCCAGATGCCATTAGCAAAATCCCTGCATCTGTAACATCCTGGATGCTGACATTATGAATATTTATGTGATGTGACAAGACATCTACAGGTGCTTCGAACAGAGTGAGTGGCTGGCATCCTGTTGTGTCCACATGACGTTCACCACGTTGACACAGTGTTGTTCAGCATTATGTTAGTGGCTGGTCCAAAGTCCATCCTAGTTTTGTTACTGGGATACCTAGCTGGGCATTGTGATGCAGTCCAGTCATGTGGACATGGGGTGTGTCGCAACAACATGGGTAGCATGTTTGTAATATGAGTGACTGATCAGTGATTAACTTTGAAGTTTGTTCTGTCAGCATGAGCGCCGTCTTTTTGACTGTGTGGAAAGATGTATCAAATCAAAATCAATCACTCTATCATGTTGCTATGGAGGTGTAATAAATTTGTAATTAATGAAAATAATAATCTTGATGTATGAGTTATTGCTGTATTTTAATATTACAGTTAGGCTTGTCCTTGTTTAGAAATGAAATATCTTGTAGGTTTTTGTTGTTTAACCTGGCATTCACCAATATGGCAGCTGTGTGATGGTGGTCTGTAAATAATCGAGTTGGGACAGATAAACTGGGGCGTCGGGTAGCCTAGTGGTTAAAGCGTTCACTCGTCACGCCGAAGACCTGGGTTTGATTCCTGACATGGGTACAATGTGTGAAGCCCATTTCTGGTGTCCCCCGTCGTGATATTGCTGGAATATTGCTAAAAGCGGCGTAAAATCAAACTCACTCACTCACAGATAAACCAGTGATTGACATCATGAACATTAATCCCCACAATTGAGTTACAATGACACAGAGCTACAGATAAGTTGCATATTTGTGTAATACAACCCACCAAAATATTCAATCAAAACCCAATCACTTTCAATTAACTTGCTTACAGAAGTGCAGGCATTAAATGAAAAACTCAAATGTATAAAAAACAGCATGAATAAAAACCCAGTGAAGCTTTTTCAGCATGCCTACAACTGAATCAATTTCCGAAACACAATTACAAGCTAATTTTTTTTCCGAGTCAAGCATATATTTAGAACTGTTATATACCTCAAAAACATTATTTCATTAATTTGAAATATCAAAATGTTTACTCATTTTGGGAAAACCCCAATAGAGTGATGAATAGATGAGTAAAAAAATATTGGTTTCTCAATGAAAAAGGTAATAACCCGATTGAAATAAGACCACTTCAAGTAAAAACTCAATTACTCAACAAGTTATCTGGAGCTCTGAATGACGTGTAATAAACCAAGTTACTAAGACCAACCACTTGATCCATTAGTCACCTCTAGCAACAGGCATAGGTGGCAGGGGACCGTTCTACCTAGACTCCCCAAAGGTTGATATACCTAACCTTGTATCATTAAACTTGAGTAATATGTACCGTACAAACCACTAGGGTGTTGAATATTCCCTATATCACACAGGTTATTGATGCAGGATATGAATAGGGCTCAGGTTGCTGATGCTGTATCTGTCTCTCCAGTAGAACCAGACCAGCTGTGAACCAAGGCCGTGTCCTAAGAATTAGCTGTGAACATTGAACCATCCTTGTTGCTGTGATGATGGTTTAAGATGTAACCTGTATATATATATATGTAGTAATGATTGAGTGTATGTTTGTTGTTGCAGGCGTCGTTGCCTTGGTTGCCCTGTATCTGATGGTGGGATACGGGGCCCAGTTCCTGTGCAACTTCATTGGATTTCTCTACCCAGCTTACGCCTCGTAAGTCTTGTCGTGAGTCAGATGTGTGCAGCAATCTGCTACAATGATTAAATAGATTACAGATACATTTCTTCACCGATGTTTTTGAAGCTGATATTGTTTTTTATCAAGATGCGTAAGTTAATAAGAATCCATACAAAGTAATGATATCATACTTTCGTCATACAACATAAAGCATTGTTGTTGTAATGAAGACTTCATAGTTTAATATGTTTATGTTTGTTTGTTGTTTAAAGTTTCACTCAGCAATATTTAAGCTATATGCAGCGGTCGGAAAATAATCTAGTCTGGACCAAACAATCCAGTGATTGACATCCTGGGCATTGATCTACGCCATTAGGATATGATGACATGCATCAACCAAGTCAGCGAGCCTGACCACCCGATCACGTTTGTCGCCTCTTATGTAATGTTTAATGACATCAAGACAGTTCTGACAACATAGTCTCACATTGCTGACACCTTGTTCCTCCATTTTAAAGACACAACTTCTTTTCCACATGGAACATCAGCGCATGGTCATTCTGTCAATCAACCAACATTATTGACCGAGTCCAAAGTGTTACAGAACCAGACATTTTTTGTGAATACAATATATATGCGCTTGGCGCAGTCGGCTTGGTTTAACATTGAAAAGCATTGCTAATTTAAATTGTTAAATTGTGTCAAATTTTCCTGGTCCATATCTTGGTACATACCAAGGTGTAACTAATTGATATTTTTCAGTTGTATTCAGAAAACTATATGGTATTAAGCAATGGCAGCATTGTTGACTTCAATATGCTCAGTTTGATTATGATATGACCAAAAGCATTTTCTTTGCTTCTTTTTGTCCACATTCTGCTAGCCGTGAGAAACAAGGTATACCTATATCCATGAAGTTTTACCTGGTACTGTGTCCGGATGAATTAGGGGTGAACTGGGGGTGAAATGATACATCGGTGTACCGATACATCGCAAGTTTTCATGCGACGATGAGTTCGATATAAGACGATACACTTGCTAAACTAAAATATTTACTCATTTAATGACCCCAAATGTTTTTGTCAGTCAAATACTGCAAAATGTGTTGTAATTAGTGTTTCAAGTTCAGTACTAAAAATAGCCACTACGAACATGTGTCTATAACTAGCCTTTCCCTTTGAACCTGCTTTGAAATATTTACAGTCAAGACGTTTCCACGAGGTTTGACTAAAATATGCGTATCACGATACCTATGGTATTGTGACCTTCATGTGTCATTCTCCCCTACGGTGAACTGATGAATGGGAAACCCAATAACCACCAGAACTCTTCCCTTAGTCTTATGTTCATACAACACATAATTTATCACTTACTCAATGTATTCATATATTTATACTGTATATTGATAACTCATTTGTAGCTGAGTTGGCAAATACATGACAATGAAGAAAGCAATTGCACTCTGGAATTCAATGATTAATTTGTACGTCACAATGTACTGCAGGGTATAAGCCTCTGAACACCTGCAATGTGCACCTGTTAAAGTGTACGGTATATGACCGCAGATAAGCCGACCCTGTAGATAAGCTGAGGTATTACCGTATTCGACGTAATAAGCGCCCAGGGTGCTCTCAAAATTAGAAATAGGGGGCTCTTATTAGAATATTATTTTGGTGAAAAAAAACAGAGTTGAAAGATAAATTTTGTGGTTTATGCTGACAGCCTGAAGTGTTTATGTACGACAGATATATTTTTCCAGAATTTAATTGCCCATAATTAAGGGTGCATATAACACACGAGTGCGTATTATACGCGAATAAATAAGTCTTGTGTACATTGATCAACCGGAAGGGGTGCTAATTTGGATTGTTCAGTAGCCAATATATTAGCAAATGTCGCCGTGGGAGCTTATTAGAGCGGGGCGCTTATTATGTCGAATACGGTAACTTGACTCTTGAAATATGTAAGAACATGATATGACCCGTAGATAAGCCTGACCAGGGAGTGAAAGACAACACACCGTGAAGTCGGCCTGGAAGACTATCTGTACTTGCAGATAAGATAATATAAGATGACAAACATTGTAATTATATGGAAAAAGTCATTATAATTTCTAATAAAGATTAAAAGTAATCTATGAACATGTACACGTATTTAACCGACCTGTGAAGATCCAGGGTAGAATATGTCTTCAGCAACCCATGCTTGCTGTAAAAGGCGACTATGCTCCTTGTAAGAGGCGACCAACAGGTTTGTGTGGTCTGGCTCGTTGACTTGGTTGATGCATGTCATTGTATACCAATTGCGTGGATTGATGCTCATGATCATAATCACTGGATTGTCTGGTCAAGACTCTATTGTTTACAGACCGCTGTCATATAGTTGGAATAGTGCTGAGTGCAGCCTTATGCAACAAACAAATCTATTATTGATAATGTCATTATTCCCTACTTAGAGAAATGTAATATACTACTGTCTGTTGATAAAATGGAGCGGTCGGGTAGCCTAGTGGTTAAAACATTCGCTCGTAATGCCGAAGACCCGGTTTCGATTCCTCACATGGGTACAGTGTGTGAAGCCCATTTCTGGTGTCCCCCTCTGTGATATTGTTGGAATATTGCTAAAAGCAGCTTAAAACCATACTCAGTCACTGTTGATAAAACATAAAAATTGTTAGACATGGCAATGTTTGTTTTTCATGCAATGCTGTCATATAGCTGGTATATTGCTGAGTGCAGCGTTCAACAACAACAAACTTACTTCACTGTGCAGTAGTAGTAATGTGTGAATGTGTGTGACTGCAGGATCAAGGCAATCGAGAGTCGTGAGAAGGACGATGACACCAAGTGGCTGACCTACTGGGTGGTGTACAGTGTCTTCAGTCTCGTGGAGTTTTTCGCTGACATCTTCCTCTTCTGGATCCCGTTCTACTGGCTGCTGAAGGTAAGAGTCCACGTCAAGTGTAGTGGAGAATGTATCGCATCCATTGGGTATCGAGCATTATAGATTGGGGGTAAGTGCGAAGCAACATATTGCAGCTCACCTGAACCGAGATGATGGTGTTGCACAGACTGATGACCGTGTATCTGTTCGTGGATGATACCAGCATCTTGAAACACAAAACGGATTAAATATAAAAGATGGGTCCTGTTCCATAGAGCAATCATAGCGCAAAGGTGACTGTAACTTGCATACTTTTTACCATGTTGTGCTATGTTGATTGCAGCTCCTGTACTTTACCATAGACTACCGATCATGTTGTGCTATGTTGATTGCAGCTCCTGTACTTTACCATAGACTACCGATCATGTTGTGCTATGTTGATTGCAGCTCCTGTACTTTACCATTGACTACCGATCATGTTGTGCTATGTTGATTGCAGCTCCTGTACTTTACCATTGACTACCGATCATGTTGTGCTATGTTGATTGCAGCTCCTGTACTTTACCATAGACTACCGATCATGTTGTGCTATGTTGATTGCAGCTCCTGTACTTTACCATAGACTACCGATCATGTTGTGCTATGTTGATTGCAGCTCCTGTACTTTACCATTGACTACCGATCATGTTGTGCTATGTTGATTGCAGCTCCTGTACTTTACCATTGACTACCGATCATGTTGTGCTATGTTGATTGCAGCTCCTGTACTTTACCATTGACTACCGATCATGTTGTGCTATGTTGATTGCAGCTCCTGTACTTTACCATAGACTACCGATCATGTTGTGCTATGTTGATTGCAGCTCCTGTACTTTACCATTGACTACCGATCATGTTGTGCTATGTTGATTGCAGCTCCTGTACTTTACCATTGACTACCGATCATGTTGTGCTATGTTGATTGCAGCTCCTGTACTTTACCATAGACTACCGATCATGTTGTGCTATGTTGATTGCAGCTCCTGTACTTTACCATAGACTACCGATCATGTTGTGCTATGTTGATTGCAGCTCCTGTACTTTACCATAGACTACCGATCTATTCGGCTGGATTGTCTTATTCCTGATGTTATGATGATGTGGCGATGGTATTGGCTGTTGTTTCAGTGCATCTTCTTGGTCTGGTGCTTCATCCCGACTCAGAGCAATGGCTCCACCATGCTGTACTACAAGTTCATCCGACCATTCATCCTGCGCCACCAGGACAGGATAGATACAGCTCTTGCCGAAGCCAAGGACACACTCAACGAAGGTGGGTAGGACATCTTGGCCTGCTGCTGCTGCTTTGTCCTCCATGTTGTATTCTCTATCCATGTATAGTTATGTAGACATGTTCTTCTTACCTCTTTGTGATTATTTCTGATAAATAATTTCAGTATTTCTTTTACTTGAGATTTTCTTTTCCTGAATAGATATTTAGATTCAACAATAAAGGGATAAAAATGTCTGGTAGTTTGGTAAGATAGAAGAAAAGCAGCTTTTGATTGGCTCTGCCAAACGGACATGTAAATCCTAAGAATGAATCTGGTTTCGACTTGTGGAGTGTGCAGTTAGAGAGGATGGAGCCTTACACATCTTTTGTCAGCCAAAATGTTGTCCACTTCCCTGAAGCAATCTGTCTTCTTATAGGTTTCTTTTCGGGCCAGTGAAATGTCCTTTTTAATAGTTTGTGTACAGTCAACATTATTTGGGCGATCACTGAATAACACAAGTCCCTATCCCTGCTTGTTCCCCTGCTCTTGAACCTGCTCTTGAACCTGCTCTGAAATATTATAAGTCAAGAAGTTTCAACGCGATTTGACATAAATATGGATAACGTGAAAGGTATCGCATCGTGACCTATGTATAGCGATATGTATCATAATGTGACCTATGTATAGTGATACGTATCATATCGTACCCCTAGTACTTATATCTGACGTATGTCAGTGTAGATGATGTACTACGTGCATTGTGTGCATGCACTCACACTTGTGTGAGATGACTTGTATCATGTTACGCATGTGTTCCAACCATGTGTTCTTATGCATGTAGTGTGCAAGTTCTCAATGAAGACACTACACCTTATGACAACGAGAGAACATTCCCATATCTGCATCTCTTATCAATATGACAACCATCATGAGCATTCGGATCGTGCTGAGGACGCAGATCTATCATGGTATTCAGCCTCATGTCTTCAGAAATGTTGGTACACATTCCTGTGTAGGAATTAATCTTGATGAAAGCTAGGCTTATTACGTGCATTCAGATCATCAGAAATTGACTTAATATTTCACAGCTTTATGTATGTGACTTGATATTATTGATGCAATGTTCAAATTTAATGTAAAAATTATAGAAAGTGAATTCCCAAATTTGAACAAAAACTGTATTTCCCTAATGTTCCCACGAGTCACGGATCCTTGACACACCCCTGGTGGGCAGCAGGTTCCTGCTGTGGGACGAACAGGGAAAGTTGAAGGACAGATTGTGGATGTGTCGAGTCTGCATGTCTGTTCCTGCGAGACAGGGTCCAGATAGTATTTTGAGCAACTGAATATTTATTCACATATAATTCACTTTGGGAGAGATAGGTTTCTTTGGGTATTCACTATCTTTTTGCTCCCTTGGGGCCAATATTCTGAGTATTTTTAAACCAATAAGTGAACCTTTTCTAAACTTAGTTCTTCTTATGACATGCCAAGTCGGTCACATATTTCATGAGTTACCACCACGATACATGTTTAAGTTACTGTAAGTGAGACGAAGCACTCTTTTGCATCATTCACTGAAGTAGAGTTCATGAATATATGATGCCTGTAATAGAATAGTAGATAAAGATCTTTAGAAAAAACATACAGATATATACTACCTGAAACGTCTTCCATATATATGACCTGTAGATAAGTCGAATTTTGAGGTTTCAGTTTCATCAAACTGCTTTTCTGTTGGTAAAGAAAACTACATCATATGTATCGGAGGGACAATTGTTTTCTCTCAAATAAATGTACACATTATTGAATGAAATTTTGAAGAAAATTATATAGAGACTACAAAAGTTCAGATATACACGATATACAATGATATACCACATAGTGTAACAACAGGATTAACTTCCGTAATTCACTACAGATTTTTGGTAGGTGGTCCGGCGTATGTACAGCACATAACATTTGTATACAAATTTCAAGGACCAAGTTAATACCTCAGTTTAACTATGAGGTTGGCTTATCTGCGGTCATATGGGTAATTACTCACTATCGTTATTTTAAAAAAATATATCTTTTTATGTGTTTGTGTTTGCAAGCAACTCAAAATTAATTGGGTTATAAGGATTTATTGTGGGTATTTCACGCAAATGCTCAATCCATCTGGAACTTCGACGACAGTATAAGTAATGATAGTATTCCCAGGAATGAGACTGTAGGATCTTCTACCTGCTGTGTGTGATGCTGCCCTGACAATAGGATGAGTGGCTTGTCCTGGCTGTAATAGGACTAAAGCTTGAGGTTGACGGTGTCGCATTAACATCACTTATTTCATTAACAATAGTGTTTGGACTTGCCAAAGAGTCTGCTAAGAAAGGTAAGTTGCCTCACCACCCCTTGGCATTCCGTCCCAGATGGTGTGGGGTCCAAACTGGTGGCAGGATCAGGTACCCCCCTCGCCTCCACCCCCAACCCCATATCTTGTGTTCTCAGTCATGATCACTCTCTCCCACACTATGTCTATATCCATGTGGTTTTACAGTCTCTAGATTTGGCTACAAGAAAATTAACTAACGTAAGTGGATTTCATTTGGGGCACTTTGATTCTGTCACAAGTTATTAGTTGAGGTTACACTTTTGGTTAACTAATAATTGTTTCTAAAGACTTAGTCAGCTTATATTATTTTAATATTTCCTTGAAAATAATTGCCATAGCAATAGATGAACAGCTGATGAAATAGTGACATATTAACATGATTAATCGAATTGACAGTTTTTCACCTTTCATTGTTTTTTTAAATTTAGTTTCCAGTGTCATGTTGGTCGTTTAATTTTGGGATTACAATAAATTTTTCAAATAACTCTATATAAATGTACTTTTGTAGTTGTGAGGAACCACATGTAACAAGGGATGTTCATGTTGGATGCAGTGACAGTGCAGACTCCCCCCCTGGGGGTTGGGGGATGGGGGATGGGGGGGTCACTACAGCAGCATGTTCCTTGCTGTCGTCTTTCTTTTACATGACATACTGTCTTGCTTAGCTGGGTAACCTAGTGAATTCACTCATTGCACAGACGATTCGCTACACACCATCTGTGAAGCCATTGGTGGTGTTCCTCACAGGCGCTGGAATAAACTTGACTTTGACTGCGGAACTGTCTTGCTTGTGTGCCTTGTACGCAGCAGTGAGACTAGGGGTTACCATGGCGACACCTGGCAGTGGTAGTGCACTTCATGCATGTTTAGGAGCTCATGGAATACAGTTCACTTAATAACAGTACAATATCTTTAAGACATTAGGATAGATGATTAAACCCATCTGTCTTTAGTAAATGTATTTTGCTCAGAATGCGGATTGTTACTGAGGTTTCTGCATGAAATTGGAAGTTTGTTTCAGGAGAATTTTGTTTTTGTGATGTTAAAGGATTTTTTAATTTTTCACAAGCTTGCTGTGTTTCACTCGTTTGTTTGCACACTTTTGCTTTTTCTCTTTTTCTTACTTATTTTTTTCTTTCTTCATTGTAAAGAGTAACTTAACCTAAAAAATTGCATTAATATGTAAAGTAATTTGTTCATGCTGTCCCAAAATGAAATGGTGTATATATGTAGAGACAGCTATTTTTTCTTCTTTGTCGGACTTGTCATCTTTACTGGTAAACACAGAAGACATGACGAGACGCATTGTGACCCCTATGAATATTAGGTGGACCAGTCCAATATTTGCAGGGGTGAAGCAGTGCTGTGCAGTATCTTGCATATGGCTGCCAGCTGTGTATATAGTTCACATGCCCTACATGAATTCTACCTGTGAAAATGGTGGAATTGTCCCTAGAGTGGCCCCCACTTTTCACAATGCATCTCAGCATCTTTGACACATGTGAACCACTAGTATGGTAACATTTTAAATTGTTTGAAAGGCCATTACCTAGCATGAAATCAAATGTCTACCCACTCAGGCTAAGTCAGGTCATACCAGCATATTCTTTAGGATATCCTGAAGGTGGCTTCACTGAACAATTTTCTTTTGTTTATGTTTACAAACATGAGTTTGTTTGTGTGAATATTGCAAAAATAGTTTGCAAACAGGATTTTTTTACATTTGACAAACTGTTGGTGAGAAATAAAATCAGTCTTTATTTTCGCTAGTATTTGGCCAGCATTTTAGTGTTTTCAAACAAAATTTAGCTGTGTTAATGGTTGTCAAACATTTTCTGGTCACATATAACCAATCAGAAACTGTAGATATCACATGATTTTACCTACATCTGCTACAAAATGGCGTCAGCATTTAAGAAAAGTGAAAAGTAACAACACCTATTTGCCATCATTTTGAGTCTTTTGGCAAACATCTGTTGCCTGTTTAAGGCCAATCATGTACAATATACACCATTAGACAGTACTGAAAAAGTCTATGATAGAGAATGCAGCAACTTCATCATGCTTCCTGAGTTTACACAACATGTTTTGTAACCAATCCCCTGGTCTCAAATACACACAAAGTTACCAGATTCGTGTAAATCTCGTAGCTGATCACCAAGTCTCAGATAGACACAGAGATCCGTGAAGATCTGGGGTAGAAGAGGTCTTCAGCAACCCAGTCTTACGAGGCAACTATTCTTGTCGTAAGTGGCGACTTACAGGATCAGGTGGTCATACTTGGTTGATGCATGTCATCATATCCCAATTGCGTGGATGCTCATGATGTCAATTACTGGATTGTCTGGTCCAGGCTCGACTATTTACATACGTCTGTCATACAGCAGGAATATTACGGAGTGCAGCGTTAAACAACAAACAAACACATACGCACAAAGTAACCTGATTCGTGTAATTCTAGTAACTGTTCCCAAAGTCTAACACAAAGACACACACACACACACAAAAACCTATTATTGTGGAATAGATAGAAAGAATTCTTATTGCTGTGTGAATTGAGCACTGGTTGTCAAGTTCTTTTATTTCAGTTTTCCATGAATCAAGTGAATGAATTGTAAGCCTTGTGCCTCCAGTGTTGTGTTGTGTATTTAATCCTCTCTCTCTCTCTGTCTTCCAGCAAAGGACGTGGCTGAAGATGCGTTGCAGGATGAAGCTGTCCGCCGTGTGGTGGACTCAGCAAAGCTGGATTAAGTATCCACCATGACTAACACACCCAACTCCGTGTCGGGAAAGTCCTGCTGCTGCCGCCGTCGCTGCCGCTGCCGCCATGTTAGTTGTACCCACAGTTCCGGACCAACATGTCTTTGTTTGCTCAACACTCAGTTCTGGTTTCCTTATTGGGCAGAACCTGCTGTATTGATATGTAAAGTATTTGTACAAAATTGCTCTTTGTATTTGACTGTTTTTGAAATTGCAAATTTGGAAGTGAAAATGAAGTGGTGTAGATATATGAATATTTCCCTAATCATGTTAATTAAATAATATGTTCAAGCTGATGTTTTTGAAAATGTTCTGGTAAATTTGAAGAAAGTGGTAGAGTTAGCGGTGAATAAGAGTTAGACATTGAGGATGTTGAATAGCTGGTAGGGATGTTGGTTGTGCTAGCCGCAGCACTGGTTGGTTGAGGATTTCGTAGGGTTGGCAGTGTAGTAACCTTATTTTCAGTTTCAGTGGTACAATGCCTTCATGTTGATGTTGGTATTATTTCGTTGCAAGAAAGTCAATTCTATACATTTCATATTTTCAAGACATTTTTATGTTTTTGTGAGGTTGTTACGTAACATTGGTAAAATTATACTTCAAATAAATTCCTCCAAGTTGATTTTGCAAACCCATTGCTTGTCGACTCTAATTCAGTATTTTCTGGGTTTTATTGGCAGTTCTTGTGAAGGTATATTTCTATTTATTTTTTGTTGAACCAGATTTATTATTTTGGAACATTTACCAGTCATATCTTATCCATATTTAAGATTGCATGCATAATTTGAACATTATGACAAATAATGAAGCTGCTTTGTTTAAAACCTTCCTGCATTGTAATTTTTATCAACATTTGAAGTTACATTGATATGCATGACATTTGTAGTCATTTGTAGTAGCTGTAGTCGAATATTTGTCAGGGATGTTTGTGCAATTGCTGTCTACTCGCTGCAATGTTAGGTAACCGTGGTAACAGCACAATTGTGTGTGTAGTGTGATAATTTGCATATCCTGATTAACATTTTAGAATGAATTTGCCATGATGTGGAATATCAACAGGATTTCTGGTAGAAGTGATGTGTAATTGTTCATATCTTCGATTAAGTGATATTGTCAGTAAGAGATAATGATATTCATACAGAAGTTTTATTGAGTGTTTCAATTAAGAAACAGATATTAGCTATTGTACTCTTGGAAAATGATTAAGTTGAAAACGATTTTGGGGAAATGATTATGAGATGTAGTCAAAGGATCCGAACTTTACAAGATACTACTCTCTGTAAGACATAGAAGAGCAGGGTTAGAAGTAACTGTTTTCTCTTGTGCGCAACAGATTGCAATCTACCTATTAATAGTCCTCAAGGAAGTGTCACTCGTCCTTTCTGAATGGAACTGTCTCGGACAAGCGGAATTGTTAATTTCAAACCCTGAATAGTACAAGTGTATTGTAATGTGAGAAAGCTTTCCCCAATGTCATTGTTTGCATTGGTAATGTTTTAGTAGGGCAGTGTTGATTATGGACTGTTATTTATTGTGCATGTTGGATTTGTATAACCATTCATTGTGTACATGATGCTTTCCCTCCATTGCTGGGATCAACTCCTTGTTATCGGCGTTGTTTATACTCCTGCACAGTCTATTCTTATACTGTTATGTAGGTAGAACGTGTACCGGAATAACTCGTACTAACGTGTAGGGACTTCTGTCATTATGTTGATTCGTAAAAGAAAATTCTACTTCAAAAGAATTATTGTTAAAATTTCTTATAGGATACAATACATTTATTGTAAATTAAAATAATTGCTAGAGTAATTGCATCCTAACATTTGAACAAGCTGAATCATAATCATTATACTGTATTTATATATTTTCACGATTTACTTTCTTAAGTTGTACAATTTCTGTCCTGTGTGCCGCCTCCTCCATGGCCGAGTGGCGCCCTCTGCTGCCTCGGGTCGGTGTTGCATAGAAAGTCTGTAAATACTAACATCGTCATTGGTCTGTATGGATGTTTTTTCATCATGTTTTGGAAAAAAGGGCTGTAATAGAATTTTGATCTTCCGAATAAATTTTGATCTGAGACTGTAGTTTGTTTTATTTTTGGCACACGTTTTGGTGATACTGCTGCCAGTTCACAACCTCAGAGTGCTTTGTCATTGGGTAAAAGATTGATATTTATCAAGATCTGAGAGCATATAAAATATTCTTGATCGCCAAATCCCACAAGAATCCCAAAGCAGGGGTGATACCCGGTGAGAAGAGTTACATCCCCTGGCAGCCAGGTTATGCTTGACGAGGGTTATAATTCTTGGTCTCTCAGATCTGAGCACTGTACCTGTGCTCATGGGTTTCATCAAGGCATACCTGTGTCGCATCCCTCCCACATTTGGGGGCACGGGTGGCCCAGTCGTCCAAGGCGCCGCGATTTGCTGTGCAGAGTTGCGTCCCTTGGGCACGCCAGAAACATATGATTGTGGGTTCGAATCCCGGTTCGCCCCGATTATGTTTCTAGGTTTGTCAGCACCATACCCGTGCTCTTGGGTTTCACCGTAGTGGTAAACGTCGGAGACCTGCATCACTTCGGGCTTTCCTCCCACATTAAGCTGACACGCCGTGATATAACTGGAATACTGTTAAAAGTGGCGTTAAAACCCAATTCACAAGTTGGTGCAGTGACATTTTGCACACTAAATCCTGCTAAGGCATGAATAATTAAGCAGGGAATAATGGTAGAAAGAAATGTTTTATTTCTCAGTAGTACATTACTTCATAAATTCAGCAGTACAAAGGATGCTTTTCATGAATGTGTAATCTGTTTCGTTTGATTAGAAGCACCGGTACACAGAACAAATGCAAACTTTTATCAACAGCATAAAATGCCACTTAAAACTTTTTAACTTAAAACATACTCAACTAAGAATTATGTGAAGGTTAAAGTATGTTTCATTTTTGCTTTCTTGGTGAGTGAGACTTGTTTACTTTGTCTGTGGTCCATCAAAGTCTTCTCACTATGTGTTACAGATGTCCTACTCAAAAGAAGTGAAAGAACACACGGCTTGTCATGATTGACCAATTAACTGTAATAATATGAAAGAATTGGGTGTTCTTTCACTTTTTTTAGTAGTATATTTATTATACAAGCATAACAAATGCATTCAGATTGATTTTGATTCTTAACATGCATTATATAAAAACAAAATGGGTTCACTGGAAACTACCGATACATGTACTTAAAAAACACTGTTTTGTTCCAGCTTGTAGAAACTAATTGCTAAGTGCTTCAAGCGTGTGCATGTAATGCCAAGAGAGACAGGCCAACTGCTGATATCCACACCTGATGTAAATACAGGTGATTACATCTCACTCTCAGTCTGGACATCGCGTCCCAAACAGGAGTTAGGGTCAGACCAACTCAAGTTCTAAAAACAGTTTATATCAAATTCCTTAGAATTAAAAACCAAGTAAAACACAAACATGGCCCATTGCGAAAAACAAATTCTGGTTTAGTAACCATATGTTCTGGTTTGGTAACTACCTATCCAGGTTTAATTGTGCCCAAGCAGGCTATACATGACTTAGTTTGGTCTTAATTTCTTCAGCATGAACATGGCAGTTAATTAAATAATTCTCAAGAATGTTTTAACCAAATCCCTGTTCCAACCATGCCACTGTGATAAAATACTGGTAATAAAACCACCTAAACCAAATTTTATTAGAATCCGTTGATGGTATAAGATCTGATTTCCTGAAAGGTAATTTAAGCAGTGATTAACAGATTGGGGTTCTCCATGGAATGAGAAGGAAATGCATCATTCAGTTGTAAGGTAATACTGGAAGGGGTATTATTTAGTCTGGAACTGATCTTCAGAGTGTTCATCTTGCTGCAAACCGATGAATGGATGCAGAATGAGATCCTATCCATTGTATATAGCCATGATGATGCAACAAAAACAAATCATGTTCTTAAAGGCGAAACCTTTAAAAATACAAAAACAATCTTGTGAATTTTTCAAACAATCAGTAACAAAATTTTCATGACTTGTGAATACACATACATGCACAAGAAACGGGGAATGTTCTTTTCAAATAAATTATAAATTCCTTGTATTTACAACATACACAATCTGTACAGACATTTTGCATAAAGAAGTACACATTCACATAGTGCAGTGATACCACTCACCCACCAACCTTGCACTGTGTCGACTGGCCGATCAGGCACATGACAACAGAAATACTTCTATTGATGAACCTTTAAAAGGGAGACTAGGTTCTGTTTATTTGGCAGTCCCAGCAAATATGGTTCAAGTCCCTAAAACACCACTTTGATCAAATATGAGGTTTATCAATGTAGCAGTTAATGATTGCCCTTATTAGACAGACAAATTGCTCTCATAGTGTTAATTACAATGTTTAGCAGGAGGCAGAAAATGGCATCCCCTTAAGAGTGTGTGAAGCCCCATTCAGCAATACTGTAGCCTTTTACTGAGTCAGGACCAGACAGGGACTGAAAGCACAAGCAACGATCCACGTTAACAGGCTCAAAGACACACAATCGGCCAAGTCTCTGAATCATACTTTGGCTGTGAACTTCCATGGTATGATGGGGACCTATTCTTCTCTGCAGACTGCTGTTATACATCGCCTCATGTTAGGCCTGGTTTACCACTGGCTTATGTCTGGAGGCCCAGATATTAGAGTCAGCACATTTCCAGTCTGGGCCTGTGAGTGATGGCAACAAACCCAGTCTTCAGTCCTAAATTCTCCATCACAAATTGGGTAGGCTTGGGGTCCTGGGGATGTACTCTACCCTGAAATCTTCAAGGGGAGAAGAGTATGGGGTCCTGGGGATGTACTCTACCCAGGAATCCCACAAGGGGAGTTAATCATGGGGGACTACTCTACCCTGGAATCCCACAAGGGGAGATAATCATGGGGTACTGGGGATTTCTCTACCCTGGAATCCCACAAGGGGAGATAATCATGGGGTACTGGGGACTACTCTACCCTGGAATCCCACAAGGGGAGACAATCATGGGGTACTGGGGACTACTCTACCCTGGAATCCCAAGGGGAGAAAACCATATGGCTGGAAATCAGGAGAGAATGTGGTACATCTAGGACTCCATGCCAGATGAACAAACACTCCTATCACTGGGCTAGACTGCCAAGATGAAGCATTTCAAAAGTACCATAACAGTAACAAGAGCTTTGCAATTGGATGACGTGCCTACATTTGATATAAAAACAAAACCAATTATTACAGTCATGGTAAACTGGGAACATGGCACGCTTTGTTCTGTCAGTTGCACTGTTGGAATGTCTATCTACAGTTCACACTACAGGTAATGGGGTGGTTGGCATATTTCAGTTCCTGGTTACTAAAACTCCCACTCAGTAACAAACGATTGAATACATGTCTTCTTTCATAAACCATAACAATATGTGAACACTATGTACACACACACACACTTCCATTTAAATATCTTGCCTTAGACAAGGAGAAAGACTTATGTTAGGTTCAAACATACAAATGTACAGAGTTGCAGAGATCACCTGAGAGGCAAGCAAACAGTTCCTGCCATCACACCATTTCACAAGTTGACAGTGCTTTGTACACAGAGAGCTGGAGTCGTGGATACAGCTGCTGGGATGAGATCAAGGCATGACTATAGGGAGCAGAGGGGGATGCTCTCTCACCTGGAGGGGGCAGTACAGGGCGGAGGTATGGAAGGGGAGAGTAGAGAGAAGGGGGTTCAGTAGAAGGTGATGAAGACTTATCATGACAGTCACTGCTGCTATGTTATAGTATCACAGCTCAGTGGGGGAGTATAGGGACAAGGATAGGTAGGGGGATGGGGTCAGCATAGAATGAAACAGAAGGGGGATATGGAAAAAGGGGGACATTGAAAAAGGGTGACGAGTGGAGGGGAAGGGAGGAGAGAGGGGGGGGGACAGACCAGGGGGGCGGGGAGGGGGACAGTATAGTAGGATGTCAATATGTTTCACGGTCATTTTTTGCTTGTTCTCCGATTATTGCCCTTCAAAGTAGTGTTAGACTCTGCCCCTGGGTGGTGATAAACCTGTGTTCCTGGCGAAAGACTGATCTAGGTGGCGATAGACTGTGCCCCTGGGTGGCGAAAGCCCATGGTCTGGGTGGTGATAGACTGTGCCCCTGGCTGGTGCTATGACTTGTCGAGTTCTTCAGTGCACTTCTTCATGTAGGTCTTCATATCCTGCATGTCGGACAGCGTGCTCTGGACCATCTCGTAGAACATCTGGGGCCACAGACGCTGCAACTCTGCTCGCTTCTTGTCCGCAAATATTGCTTCTTTTGTAAGTTCATTGATATAACTGCGGGCAAACTGTGTCTTGGAACTATCCTGAAAATAGAAATATTGCACAATCAAATGGCAAGTTAAACCAATGAGAACATTTTCACTAAAAGAAAAGGCCTACACTATTACCAGTGAAGTTTTTTGTGCATGTTACGACCACATGAAAACATTCATGTCAGAGTGTCCTACCTTATTGGCCGTTGTCACCTCCCCAGGTGCCAGGTACACAAGGCGAGATCGTCCCTCCAGTTCTATCTGAGCCTGCTTGCTGTCCCCGGACTTGCGAGGCTTGTCTTCATAGGACATACTCCCCTTTTTCCTGATTCAACAAGAACACAACTATCAGGGAAGTAAAGAAAGACACAAAGACTGTCTGGGGTCAGCACAGTTGTCACCCTCCATCACTCCCTGACTGACCAGCACCCCATCCGCCCCCCCCCCCCCCCATCACTCCCTGACTTACCAGCACCCCATCTGCCCCTCCATCACTCCCTCACTGCACCCCATCTGCCCCTCCATCACTCCCTGACTGACCAGCACCCCATCTGCCCCTCCATCGCTCCCTGACTGACCAGCCCCCCATCACTCCCTCACTACACCCCATCTGCCCGCACAATACCATTTTCTTACCTCAATTCTGACCTTAGCTGGGGGGTCTTGTACCCGATGATAAAGGACAGTGGACCAAACAGCTTCTCTGCATTTACTATGTCTGTTGGTGAGACCTGGAATTAAAGGTAAAGTCTTGTAACCGATACAACAGCGGCTCTGTGCGTTCATTAATGCTCTTCCAGTCTACAGATATTGTGAGACATGTACAGACACACATCTTGTTTTCTAGTGGAGGACCATGACATTATTTCACCTTCTGTTGTCTAAGAAGCAGTACAAGGGTGATAATCATATCATCACAGCAGCCAACTAACACCAACATCAAAATAAAATGTGGAAAGTATAAGTTCGGATTATTGGAATAATTCTTTTTCACAACACATTCCTTTTTAAATCCAGCATGCCCAATGAACAGTTGGGGGCAAAGCCTAAAGCAAAAGTATTTTCAGGAACAAATGATTAAAAAAAGTAAATCCAGTTCCTGAAAATCAATCATCCCTTAGTGCTTCTAGATCAGGATGCCAGCTGGGAAGTCAAACATGAGTGAGTGAGTGAGTATGGTTTTACGCCGCTTTTAGCAATCTTCCAGCAATATCACGGTGGGGGACACGAGAAATGGGCTTCACATATTGTACCCATGTGGGGAATTGAACCCGGGTCTTTGGCATGACGGACTAACGCTTTAACCACTAGGCTACCCCACTGCCCCTGAAGTTGAGAGCCCTCTTCAGTGTCTATTTGAAGACATGAATGCTCCTAAACATTTCTCAATGGTGCTTCCCTGGCTAAGGAACTCTACACTGCACTAACAGCATCTTCATACACTGCCAACAGTGCCCCTAACAGATCATAAAGTGGAATGGTGTGCAACTCTGAAACATCAGTAACATTCACACCTACCTCGACATCATTGATCTTCTTGAGGGAGAAGTGAGCCAGGCGGAAGATGGTGTACATTCTCCAAAGTGTGAACTTGGTGACGGGGTTGCCGTCAAGGTCGATGGTGAGGTTGTCGATGCGCCGGATGTTGGAGAGGGCGTTGATCTGCTGCAGGCTGTTGATGTTGGTGGAGCTGAAGACCAGGGTCTGGGAAATACAGGTGAGGGACTATATCTACAGGCGTCACTGTCATGCCTCATATTTACATGATTCCATAGTATTGGTCTATATTAGGGATGGGTGTTTGAAGTTTAAAGTGTATGACAATATTTTGTGATGCACAAGGTCGTATTGCGATACGTATCATGATATATTGTTTAATTCTAAATTTTGAATTAAGAGTCGTGTTTCATCCTTACTAGTGATGTATAGCAATTGTTCATGTCCTGATTAAAAATCTAAATGAATAATTTAAAAATAATTGACATTGATACCAGAATAGTTTCATTGATGGAATAAAATGATACAATAAGACACCAATACTTCGCAATTTATCATTTTTGTGAGGACAATTCACTTAATCTATGAGTGAGTGAGTATTTACACTGCTTTCAGCAATATTCCAGCAATATCATGAGGCACACCAAAAATAGGCTTCACACAATTTAATCATGTTGGAAATTGAAACTGGGGCATTTGGCATGATTGGCGAACACTTTAACCACTAGGCCACCCAACAGGCTCCTGAATCTCGCAGGCTGTGAGAACATGGACAAAGCCAGGGGAACATGTGATATCAAGTGAAACTACTACTGCAATAGTATCTCAATGGACTATCATAAACCTTCAATGCCCGTAGTCTCTCCAACAAATTACCTGTACACTTGGAAACCGTGTCCGAACTTTGTGCAGGTGCTTGGTAATTTCCTCAAAGTCGACAAACTTAAAGACCATGGATGTGACGGTGCCGGCCGCCTGGATACCCCAGTTCTTGTCCAGTGCCTCCAGAGACTGTGGGCCGTACAACGTGAGCGTGTCGCCCTCGAGGTCAGCCAGGTTACTCAGCTCCTTGCCATTGTTTGTGTTGGACTTCCTGAAACACACGATCCATACATGCTGTAGTTTGCATACTTAACACCTTCAGTTAAGAAAGAACCTTCAAGGCAATGATTACTTTTAAAGACTTAAACCCAAACAGATTTATTAAGATGTTCTTACTTCGTGAAACTGTCAGATTGGTTCCCAGTGTACATCCAAATACAACATTAAATATTGCAGTTCCTGCACCAATGTTTCAATATTAGTTGTTTACCAATCAAGTTATGGATTCATCATTGGCTACAAGATGTGATCAGGCATTATCAGACAGAAAAATAATTGTACTAGATCTATTTTAACAGCAGAATAACAATGGATGCCAAATCCAAGACCTCTACAATGCACTTTTAATTTTAACGACAAACAACACTGACAAATTCAAGGCCTATTCTGTTGTGCTCCTTGCAGGATGTCAGTGCGGGATGTCATTACGGGATGTCAGTGAGGGATGTCAGTGAGGGATGTCAGTGCGGGATGTCAGTGCGGGATGTCAGTGCGGGATGTCAGTGAGGGATGTCAGTGAGGGATGTCAGTGCGGGATGTCAGTGAGGGATGTCAGTGCGGGATGTCAGTGCGGGATCTCAGTGCGGGATGTCAGTGAGGGATGTCAGTGCGGGATGTCAGTGCGGGATGTCAGTGAGGGATGTCGGTGCGGGATGTCGGTGAGGGATGTCGGTGCGGGATGTCGGTGCGGGATGTCGGTGCGGGATGTCAGTGAGGGATGTCAGTGAGGGATGTCAGTGCGGGATGTCAGTGCGGGATGTCAGTGCGGGATGTCAGTGAGGGATGTCAGTGCGGGATGTCAGTGAGGGATGTCAGTGAGGGATGTCAGTGAGGGATGTCAGTGCGGGATGTCAGTGAGGGATGTCAGTGCGGGATGTCAGTGCGGGATGTCGGTGAGGGATGTCAGTGCGGGATGTCGGTGAGGGATGTCGGTGCGGGATGTCGGTGCGGGATGTCGGTGCGGGATGTCGGTGAGGGATGTCGGTGAGGGATGTCAGTGCGGGATGTCGGTGAGGGATGTCAGTGCGGGATGTCAGTGCGGGATGTCAGTGCGGGATGTCAGTGAGGGATGTCAGTGCGGGATGTCAGTGCGGGATGTCAGTGTGGGATGTCAGTGTGGGATGTCAGTGAGGGATGTCAGTGAGGGATGTCAGTGAGGGATGTCAGTGCGGGATGTCAGTGAGGGATGTCAGTGCGGGATGTCAGTGTGGGATGTCAGTGCGGGATGTCAGTGTGGGATGTCAGTTCGGGATGTCAGTGCGGGATGTCAGTGTGGGATGTCAGTTAGGGATGTCAATGTGGGATGTCACTGCGGGATGTCAGTTCGGGATGTCAGTGCGGGATGTCAGTGCGAGATGAGCTGTCACAGCTACAGCTCTACACCACTATCAGGGTGGTCTGTAAGCTGAATGACACGGGGCAAAAAGTAGTGATTGGGAATGTGAGCAAGTGATTTGGGTTTAACACTGCTTCGAACAGTATCTCAGTCTATTCATGTCTCAATGTGATATATATATTTACAACTTTAAAGCTAACAGACCAGGACGATTCAAGGATACATGACCAAATCTTGTTATGGCTAAATGACGCAACTCAGTAAATTGTGGCGTCATCGACCATTGGATCTATTGGGTCAACTTCGAAGATAATCCACTCACCCAAAGAGCATAGTTTCCTTGTGGACTGCCTGTGTCTTGTCTCCCCTTCTGCTGCTAGTGCGAGGGCGTTCACGCGGCCCGTCACCGGAGAACTCCATGGTCATGTTACTTCTTGCACTGCCAGGCCGACTGGTCATCCTCTTGTCACTGACAACAATGAGATGATGTGATGACTTGTCAAGTTATCTCATGCTCCTTGTGAAAATGCCCAGCCACAACATCGATGAATATGTAAGATTGACCATTTACATTTGTGGAACAGTCATTCTCTGTGGACCTACTTGAACATTCCAACATTGCTATGGAGAGATCATGTCAAACGGGGAAGTTTAATTTGTGAGAAAAGTAAATGCTAATCAATCAATTTGCTAATACCCAAGTATGTATCATGGCATTCTTAGTTGCAGTCTTCTTCTTGTAATAAAAAGTGATTTCAATTTTCAAAGACTGGACTGCATGCATAGACTCCAGATCTGCACTTCCATCATTTCTTGACTCATTAACTTCGTGATTTACGGTATATAAAGTCTAAAAAAACACTTCTAGTGTTAAACTGCCATACATATGTTTGTTTCATGGTAGTCAGTTTTGAAGCAGAGCCTATCTGAGATGTCGAAGGAAAGCCTCCACCCACATACCATCGATATAACTCTCCACAGTTTTAATACCCAAGAAGAATGTCTGTAGAAGAGTTCCTATTGTCTGCACTGCTCACCTCGTGATGGAGTCATTATCATCTCCATCAGGACTGTGAGACATGAAGTCCGAGTTGTTGATGGTGCCGATGTGGTTGGCGTAGAGTTCTCGCTGCCCCGACACCAGCCTCCCCGTCCGCGACAGTAACGACCCCTGCATGGTCTCCCATTGGCGCTTGGCGTTGTTGATGGCGATCCGCCGCTTCTCCTGCACAACATAGCAGCAAGGGAACTGGGTTCAGACTGAAGACTTTAATGTCATAGCCAGGAATACTACAGATGTAGAACATCTGTGCTTAAAATAATTGAACCTCTACCACGACAAATGGTCAGAAATAATCTATGTCATTGGAATATGATGACACCATATTACTACCCCGGTCATGGCTGACAGTTGATGTTTCTATTGAAGTATTAGTTTAGTATTAGTTACAGTTGGTCCCCAACAACCCATGCTAGTCTCCCTGTGGGGATTCTAGCATGATACTGTCTCCCCTGACCACCAACCGACCTTCATGACTGATATCTTGTCCCCAACAACCCATGCTAGTCTCCCTGTGGGGATTCTAGCATGATACTGTCTCCCCTGACCACCAACTGACCTTCATGACTGATATCTTGTCCCCAACAACCCATGCTAGTCTCCCTGTGGGGATTCTAGCATGATACTGTCTCCCCTGACCACCAACCGACCTTCATGACTGATATCTTGTCCCCAACAACCCATGCTAGTCTCCCTGTGGGGATTCTAGCATGATACTGTCTCCCCTGACCACCAACCGACCTTCATGACTGATATCTTGTCCCCAACAACCCATGCTAGTCTCCCTGTGGGGATTCTAGCATGATACTGTCTCCCCTGACCACCAACTGACCTTCATGACTGATATCTTGTCCCCAACAACCCATGCTAGTCTCCCTGTGGGGATTCTAGCATGATACTGTCTCCCCTGACCACCAACCGACCTTCATGACTGATATCTTGTCCCCAACAACCCATGCTAGTCTCCCTGTGGGGATTCTAGCATGATACTGTCTCCCCTGACCACCAACTGACCTTCATGACTGATATCTTGTCCCCAACAACCCATGCTAGTCTCCCTGTGGGGATTCTAGCATGATACTGTCTCCCCTGACCACCAACTGACCTTCATGACTGATATCTTGTTGTTCTCCCTCTTCTTCTCCTCCTCCTTCCTCGCCATCACCAGGGCGATCCGCCGCTCCTCCTCCTGGGGATACAGACACAGATAATGGGACGTATGCAATACTGGGACATATGCAATACTGGGATGTATGCAATACTGGGACATATGCAATACTGGGACGTATGCAATACTGGGATATATGCAATACTGGGATATATGCAATACTGGGATATATGCAATACTTGGAAGTACATGTCCAAGGTGCTATGTGTGTTGTAAAACCAACCGGTCCATCATACTGTAACGAAATGGCTGACATATTGCCGATGTGACTTCAACTGTGAAGTCACTGACTCTATACTTACACTGACTCTCTTCATGTCCAGCTGTTTGATCTGCTGCATGTGTCGGAGGACGACCTGTTTGTAGTACTGATCCTGGGCAATGGGGTTCCCATCCAGGGAGATCTCCGACAGACTGGTGGACTCTCCCAGACATGATATGTCCTCAAAGCTGAAACATACCACTCCCTGTACAGTACTGTACTTTGCCTCCTGTCTGACGAACCAGTGCAACAGATAACAACAAAACTCAAGAAATATTTGCTTCTTTACTGTAATACATTCATCCCGGGATGCCACAGCCAAGTGTCGCAATGCTGGTCACGGAGAGTAGGCGGATGGGTTTACCATGTTCGGCTGCTCGACTCCTGAGTTTCTGTGGGTTTGGTACTGCCCCACACTGAACCATGTGTATCACATGTGGTGTCTCCGTCGGCAAGTGACATGACTCTGGTCGAAGTATGCCTCTGTTCACCTGGCAGTGTTTTGGTGCCCAGTAGGATCAGATGGAAATGTGAATGTTAACCTTCTAGCACCCCATTGACAGCTTGGATTGTATACTCCCCATGGAGCTGAGAATGAAATTTGCGTCACACCGATCCATTGACCAGGGTAATATTGTACTGCTTTGAGCATGTCCCTGTGAGGTGTGGAAATATAAGAAAACACAATGCCATTTACTGAGAAAGTGATATCCCAAATATAACATTTGTTACATGTGGAAATATGGCCTCAAATAAATGCCATTATTATCATTAATTATTATTATTATTATTATTATTATTATTATTAATAATAATAATCATTTATTAATCATTTATTAATGAATCATTATTATTATTATTATTATTATAGTTCTATACATTTCTGTAGTACAGCAAAAGCATGTATGTATCTCAAACTATGAATACAGAAACAGACAATGCTAGCAGTAAAGGACAGTGCCCTGGGATATATTCTGACTATTATCCTACGACACTGCGCACTGTCACTGTGAGCCTGCAGGTCAGTACAGGGATGTGATTAATGACACAAACAAACACGCTACTGTCTTCAGCAGAGCCCTAGCTTTCAGTTTGGAAACCCTTAACCCTGCCATACATAAACCACAGGTAAGGCAGACAAGACATGTTGTCTGGGAATGGAACAGTAGAAGTCTACAGGAAAACTGCTCAGATAAAATGCAAAGAGGTGACGTGGGGACCATTGAGACTGGTGTTAGTTGTGTGACATTGGGAGATGTGTGATAATCGTGTCAGACAGAGGATAGGTAGATGTGTGATCTTGTAGTCACATGCGTGACAATGACACAGGGTTTTATACGATGCCGAATGTGCCTCCAGTATGCAAAAATATATAGATGCTGCAAAAAATAATATATTGTGTCCCGAGGGTGCACAATAATATTCATTTTACCAAATTCTTAACAAGAATATATTAAAGTTTCTGTAATTCAAATAATTTTTACATTTGAGAGTACAGTACACAACACCATTTCATTACTTTACTGGACTCTCATATTTCCTGTAAGAACCCTTTAACTAGTAAGTTGGGGCCCTCTGGTCATATAGTATGGTCGTCAAAATCTTTGTTCAATTTCACTGGAGATAAAGGCTGAGACAAACTTACTTCAAGCCCAAAGAGGTTACTCCATGTTTTCGTGCTAACTAGTAATTACTTCACGTCACACATCAAAACATCTAGTCCCCTCCAATCAGTTTAAATCCCTATGACTGTGGCTAGCGTTCTCCCTGTGTGTGCCTGACAGTACCACATTACCCGGTCTCAGTAGTCAACACTGGAACTACATGAATTATTCACACAGAGGGAACACAGCTCTTGAGTGATAGATGATTCACTGGAATACAGTAGGATATGTAGAGCTGCATAACATCTGTAGTGTTCTGTGACTTGGAGGCCCATTGCAATAGGGAGTGAGTGAGTTGGGTTTAACGCCGCTTTTAAAAGTATTCCAGTTATATCACGGCGTGTCAGCTTAATGTGGGAGGAAAGCCCGAAGTGATGCAGGTCTCAAACGTTTACCACTTCGGTGAAACCCACGAGCACGGGTATGGTGCTGACAAACCTAGAAACATAATCGGGGTGAACCGTGATTCGAACCCACAATCATAGGTTTCTGGCGTGCCTAAGGGACGCAACTCTGCACAGCGAATCGCGGCGCCTTAGACGACTGGGCCACCCGTGCCCCCCATTGAAATAGGGAGAAAGAGACAGTTCTCCCTTCAAAAATGCTCTAAGGTTAGAGAGTTTGTAGAGAAGTTTGGTGTTTTACAAAAGTCCCTTTGAGCATACTATGAAATGTAGGACCCATCTGGAGCAGGTATTCTCTTTCTTACTAAATGTACAAGCCCATTGTCATATGATGTCAGGTCGAAGATGTGGTCATCATTACAAATAAGATTAGGATGATGCTGTGACGACCTTTGCTGTGAGGGCATTAAGAGATGCGGCCCATTTCACTTTCGTATTTCGTTCTTGATTCCCCTTTTCTATCCCATGGATCCTGCTTCACAAGCGACAATACTGACTGTCATAGTCTATGTTAAAGTACATGAGTTACGGAAGTTGTAGCGCTACGATCATTTTGTGACACGAGACCCAGGACAATGTTAGCAACTGGTCATTAACTAAAGACTGATTGGTTTAAAAAAAAGCACTTAATGATTGATTCATGATATAATCATAATTTCTCTTAATTGTATTATCTAACATGATTAACAAAATTTGATTAACTAATATAATTGGAGAATAAGTCATCACATCCTCATCAGTTAATTACAACAACACTATTGGTTCAACATAAGATGGCACAGATACAGAGAAGGACTACTGGTATATGTTCCATCATTTTCCCGAGGCAAGAGAGTCAACTAACTATAAAAGTCCAGTTTCCACCCTTGCCGCCCTATGCTGGAATTCCTGGGCTCGATCGTAGCGCCACCAGTGGCTATTACGAGTTATGTCCCTTCTATGTCTCTCCTATGGACCTATCAGATTCCTCTTGTATCACTTGCATTTGCTTCAAACAAAATGGCGGCGCCTAGTCAAGATGATCTGATCAATAATCAGGAACTATATTGTGATAAAATGGGACTTACATCGTGAAGTGCATCAAATCATGTTAGCACCTTGATTAATAACATGAAAAAGATTTGAAAAATATGTGTTGACAACGAGTTGGCGGTGCACATGCTTTGCAAATCCTGAAATCGACCAAAATCTGCATCGCAGTTTACGAACAGGATTTCAATTTCGTTCCGAGATTTTGATTGGACTATGCATAGTGAGTGAGTGAGTATGGTTTTACGCTGTTTTTAGCAATATTCCAGCAATATCATGGCTGGGGACACCAGAAATGGGCTTCACACATTGTACCCTTGTCGGGAATCGAACCCGGGTCTTCGGCGTGACAAGCGAACGCTTTAACCACTAGGCTACCCGACCGCCCGGACTATGCATAGACTCGTTAGTCCAGCCAAAATCTAACTCCATAATACCAGCCTAGTTCGGTAAGGGTGGAAACTGAACTTTTATCGTCAGTTAACTCACTTGCCTCGGGAAGATGATGTTCCACGGACTGGTGCCTAATCCAATCTTGGTCCCATGATTAGTGTGAAATTGTCTTTGTTTAACTTGTATACAGTAAACTATGGTTATAACAAACTCTAAGGGACCACTAATTTTAGTTCGTAATAACCATAATTCCTTATAAGCACACATACAACAAATGTCCAGGACTTAGGAATAAGTTTGTTATATCGGTCAGTTCATTATAAGCGTGTTCGTTATAAACATAGTTTACTGTATCGTGTACATAATAAAACAGGAGAAGACAACCTAGGTTGGTTTTACATCCAACTTGCCTCGCGTCTGATCACTCATTAATGTTTCACACGTCTGTATTCTAGTTTACCAGCATGACAACACATTAAGTGGACAGGGAAATTAGGACAGTGATTAATTACCTGTCCTGAAATATGCAAGGTCTGTGCCTTATTACTTTAGACACACCCTTTAATATTTCAGAACAGGTAATGAAGATGTTCCCGAGATGGTCTTCCTCCTGTTGAGTGTGTCAGGGCCCGGCCTGTACAAGTTGCTGTCATATACAGAACGTGACACCAGGACACAAATATGCTGCGAATCTGATTAAAACTTTCAAATACAATCTCCATTATCCAATTAATTTTGACATAAAAATATGCATGAAAACTTTCAAAAACCCAATGCCATATAACCGTGCATAATTACCCAATGTTGCTTTCTTAGGTTGCGTAGAAACTAATTTTTTTTGTCCACTAGTCCCTACAATGATAACATATAGAAAAACCATTATAAATGGCTGGGCAGTTTTGCAAGGACTATAGGACTAGTGTCGATTTCTAACCCTGACTTGTATTTCTGTACTGTTCCTTCATAACTGATCGAATACAGGCATTCTCAATACTACTCAAAAGAAGTTAAAGACGATCCTAATTTTTTTCCTATGACAATAGTTCATCTCTCATTGTGACATGGATGTATTACGCTGACTAAGGGCTTCCTTATGGTCACATTTCTGCAGCAGAAGTGAGAAATCTCTACATTGTAGTGAGTGAGTGAGTATAGTTTTACGCCTCTTTTAGCAATAGTCCAGCAATATCACGGCGGGGGACACCAGAAATGGGTTTCACACATTGTACCATTGTCGGGAATCGAAGCCGGATCTTAGGGGTGACGAGCGAACCTATAGGCTACCCGACCTCCCCTCTACATTGTAAAGATACTAGTAGGGCTGGGACGTGTAACTAGGGTACCCGGGTCGGGTGGGTACTGAGTAGGACCCGGGTACCCACAGGACTACCCGGACCTGTGGTTAGTCACGTGATATATTGTTTCAGGACAAAAATTCACTATATAACTACATGGTTACACGACAATTTTTAGTCTCTAATGTTCGCATTTCTGCATGACTATGAACATGTTCCTTCTGACTTAAAAATGTTTGAACAAAGCTAAAACTTCAGTCAAATTCAGTGTATGCATGACCACATCGTTTTATACGTGTATCTAAAAACATTCTGCCAGGGCTACTGTCAAACCAATCCCAATCGGACATTTTGTACCTATCTCTTGACATCAACAGCAGGTACCCGGGTAGGGTCAGGTAAA